ATCTAGTGGTTCCCTCCCAAAACTCTTCGTTACAAGGGATTGAGCATAGACGGATAAACTCGAGCATACGCCACAGGCCAATTATCCTAATCCCAATAACTTTTCGTAACAAGGGACGGGTCATCGGCACGTGCGTATTTCAACCCAAAACCATACACGATTCAGTTACGAAATTATCTATCTCATGCAAGCCTAGGTCTACGACTTCTCCCCTTTCGATTCAAAAAGTCGCTAATTTTACTAGAAGGTGTTTAATCAACTAGTCATACAGAATCAACAGAACCTAACTCAACAATTCAATATCTAATCGTTACCAATTACAAGATCGAAGTGTCACCCTTCGATTATATCGAACTATCAAGCACAATTTCATTAATTCTGAATTAAATTAACTCACACAAGTACGAACGATTCAAGCCCGAGAGATACAATTCAAACAAGAAATCCCCTATCCCTAGCAATATGATTTAGCTAAGCAACATGAATTCAACACAATTCATCATCTCTCTCAATTCAATCATTCACATGAATTAAAAATAAAGAGAAAACTTACAATTAATCGCAATTCCAATGTTTGTTGATTCCAATAATACAAAGCTTAATCCAATGAAAAGAAGAAGAAAATTGGAGAAGAAAGATTAAAAGAAGAGGAAAAACGATGGAGAAAGTAAAATGGCGATACTGGATCTCACCTATAGACGCGACGGAGAAACCGAAGCTAAGGCAAATTGCTCGTCTTCGTTTCTGCAAAACATAGGACAAGTTGCTCGTTTTCAATTTTGTGTTCTCCGAATGTTGCGACAAATGGAATGAAATTGAAATTGAAAATGAGAGTAGAAACAAGAGAGGAGCTCACCTTACGATTCGAAAGCTTCAACTTCTCAGCAACAATGGCGTCGCAACTTTCACTCTGAAGCTAGGGCAAATGCCCGATTTTTCCATTTTATTTGTAATAAAATTGTAAATTCTGTGAAAATAAGGGGTATTTTTGTCCATTTACACAAAAAATTGAGGATAAAATAGATAGGATAAAAACGGGATAAAATTATCACGTGGGGGAGGCGGGATTTTTCTGTCCGGGATTCGCCAATAAGTGTGTGCCACGTGGATGCCACGTAAGTCTAATACTATACCTTCCCCGCAGAGTAAACGTGAGATAGCCGGGATTGTTTCCCTTATCCTATCCCAATCCCACGAAGTAAACGACCCCTAAATATAATAATGCCAGAGTTAAATCCCAGAAACATTAGCATCCATAGTGTAAATGGGAAAGTTGACACACAAGCCAACAAAAGTTTGTCATCATGCAACTCATGATGTTCATGGACTTGAAAAATTGCAACTTCAAATATGCAACCTATCATAGTAACTTGTAAATCAGAAATTTGATACACATAGCTCAGAGCCAACAAATTAGTCATCGTGCAACATGTTCATGGACTAGATGAATCATTCATTATGCAACTTAGCTCAGAGCCAACAGATTAGGTCATCGTGCAACATGTTCCATGGACGAGATGGCTTGCAAAAGCCATATTGGTAGAAGCCGTCGTAAAAAGATGCATCAAATTCCAATGTGACGTCAAACGACTTTATTCTCGCACTGGCTTCATAAATAAATTGCTGCATCTTAAGCTGAAAAGAGTTTACATTTGAAGCATTCAAGTAACATCATTGAATAATGTAATAAATACAAGAACAATTAAAACATAACAGATTGAAAAAAAAAAATAATGATAAAACCAAGAGAGATTGGAGACGAGACTTGGTAGAATGTGAAATATGACTCGATAAACTTGAAATAAAGGTTGTGTTTGTTTAATGGCGTTTTGACTTTAAAAGAGCTTTGTTAATAGTTGTTTGACCAAACACAATCACTAAAAACAACGCTCGGTAAAGAGCAATTGTAACCAGCGTTTTTAGCCCAATCCGCAAAAATGAAAAACGTTGCATTTTGAAGCGTTTTGGCTTAGCGGTTCAAGATATAAAAAAGTCTTAGTGGATGTTTGTTTATGAAAAATTTTGGAGTTGTGAGATTTTTTGGTTTGGTTGGATTAAATTTAGAAAAAGTGGTATGGTTTGTTGTTAGTGGGTATAATAAAATAATATTTAATTAAAATAATTAAAAGTGATGTGATGTAAAAATAAAAGAGAGATGATTTGATTTGATGGTTCGTTAAAATAATGTGAGTTGATGATTAGTAAATTAAGGTTTATGTGGTGTGAAGAATGATTGATTGATATTATTTAATTATATTGATAATATTAATGATAGTGGGATTGAATTAAAGTTGAGTTAAAAAAGTAGTTGAGTTAAAAAAAATAGTTGAGTTAAAATGTTAAAAGTTTTTGTGAGATTTTTCATAAACAAACATCCCCTTAACTGCCCCAACTCATTATTACAATAGAATATAGAGGAACAACTCTAAATACATCGTGATACTTTTTTATTGAACCCCGTATAAATAATATTTAGGCCTTGTTTGTTTTTTGGCGTTTTTGGCCAAACCGTTGTTTTAGCGGTTTTGACCAATCTGAAACGCCAAAATATGGTTTAAATGTTGTTTGGTTTGTTGGCTTTTTCTTTAAGCTTTTTTTGAGAAAAAGCCAAAAAATGAAACGCTAGGGAGAGTAGCGTTTTCTATTAGCTTTTCACTGGCTTCTTCAATTCTTAATATGCATTTATTACCGCAAACATATACAGGATGTTGTTATGCTTATTTTCTTCAACTTTTAGTTGGCTTTTTTCTACAACTTTTTCTTTTTTGTTTAGATATCAAATTAATATTTAGTACAATTTACATTTTATACCTTTAATATTTTAATTAGTTATTTTTTCTGTTGATTTTTTTTCTAAATATGAAAACTTACTTAAAATTACTTAATCATATCAAATTTATTTTTTATCATCATTTATACAAACTATTTTATCAAATTAATAATGCCACATTCAATCAACTAATTTTACCAAACAACATTTTGCAGATCCGCTAAAACTAACAGCGGATTAAAACAACTAACATTGGTCAAAACAGCTATAACAATCCGCTAACAGCTAACAGCTAATTACCAAACAAGGCCTTAAGTCTCACAATTTCATGAAAAATATATATATCAAAATCGTGATAATTTTTAATTCAAACCCGCAACAACAACTTACCCATTATATTCCCAACTAATAAATAATATTTATTTTATTGATATAATATAAGAGATATATTTAACTATATAATTTTCATTCCAACTAATATTTAATATAACTTAACAAGTAATTTTACCAACTATTTCTCTAAAATTTTAAATATATATAGGCAACTACTTAGATACACTATCATATATCTTAGTTCATCATATAATCTCCTAAAACAATATCCCAAAGTTAGTAGAAACATTCAATCTGAGAAATCTAGTCAAAAAGTTTTAAAGTTGCATAAACATCCAAACAATTGAAAGATCTAGTTAAAAAAAAAAATTAGGAACACCCAAACAATTAGAGAAATCTAATAAAGTAGAAGTAGAAGATGTATTTAGTTACTTAGATTAGATGACCATGAGAACCTTTTGGAAATTGTTACTATAAAGTTTAGTTATTTTGATTTTTTCAATTGTAATAATATATTTTTCAATTGAGTTACATTTAAATTTTTTAAATAGTGAGGACTTGTTATTCGTTTTACTTATATGATGAGATATTATTTAATCAATTAAGAAATATTTTCATTGTATTATTATATATATTTTTCTATATTTTAAATCAATCTAATAAACATTTAAAATATTAATTATTTTTATTTCTTAAATATTTATAAGCTCAACATAAATAAGAATGATAAATTATTATAATGCACTTATTAGTAATTTTAATGTTAACAACTAATTTTACAAAACTTTCTTTTACAAACCGCTAATCTGATAAAAACAGCTAATTTAATCTGTTGATCAAAACAACTAATGCAATCAGCTAACTGCTAACAGCTATCAGCTAATTACCAAACAAGGCAAATGAATTACTATGGATAAGTGGTGAGTATTATTTACCTGGTCAAAAATGTGTTTATAAGGTCTAGTACCGTATACTTTACTTAACACTTCCCTCAAACCCTGGTAATACATTTGAAAAGGAAAAAACATGATGCAAACACATAAGAGATAATATAAAAGAGAAGAAAGCTAACATGAAAATATTAAGCTTGCGCACCTTCAAATCACCAGCAAATCTAGTAACATAACAGATGTTAGCCTTTACATCATCATAACCCCTAGCTTTCCAAGCATTAGCTCTTGCAATCCGTCTCGCCTCCCATCTCGCTTGCTCATATTCACAAAGTTTCGCATTAACCTTCTTACGCACATCATCGTACAACCAGTGCGCGATTAAAATACTCAATAAAACTCTGAGATAATGATGAACATTGTTTTAGCGATAAATCTTGTTGAGCGAAATAAACCATGATTGATCGCTATTAAGGAAGGGGAAAAAAGCAACCTCACAGCACAAACGTCATTCTTTTCAATCTCGTCCCTATATTGATGGAAGCCAGGATCTTTAACGATATTTTTAACGGTAGCCAATACATCATCATTCCTAACCTTAGCTCGTTTGCCATATCTTTCTATTAATAAACGGCCGCCAAATATCTGATAAAAACAAATAGAAAAATAATAGAAAAAAACAATTGGATTAGCAAAGAAAGATTAAGCCCACAAAGGTACGTTTTATTCCACAATTGAAGTTTAAAATAGAGTGAGATACCCTCTTAAGACTCTCAATAAGAAATTGAATAAAGTCGGGATCCTCCAAAACTTCATGAGCTAAATCATGATGTAGTTTTGTGTAATACAAAGACCAATCATCTTTACGATCAAATATGTGAAGACATTCCATACATTGTAGTGTTTTTCTAAAAAGGCGAGAATCTTGCTTTAAGTCATGGGCCAACTCCTCAATGAATGCAACGTGCGGAAGTGATAAAAGAAAGCCAAAATGACCATTGTAACCCTAAAAAAGTGCTTATTCAACAGCTTAAAAAATACCACGGGGGCCTTTTTGTAAGTTCACAATTTAACCATAATGAGATGCCAAGAAAAAGAGGAAACAACGTTTCGTCAATCACCTTTATTCTGAATAACCAAAACGGTGTCGTTTGCACCCCTCAAAGAAAATGAAAATAAAAAAAAATGTAGCTCAAAGAGGAGAAAGCAGTGGGCGGTGCAAAACAAGGTGACGTGGATGCTATAGAACTCCATTCAGAGCACAAGAGTTGTGACACTTGTCAGTCAAAGAATTGCAACCATTTTTTCTTATAAGAATAAGAGTGATTGAATTGTATATATATTTTAAAAGTTAATAACTTTTGTATTTTTTTATCAGTTTTACATATGTAATATATCAAATTAATCTTCTTTTTATGAGATTCGATTTAACATTCATGTTGTATGTATAAAATAAATAATTTATATTTATCTTTATAAGAATAATAAAATTATTTTTAATATTAATTAGAAAGATAAAATTTTTTTATCAACTAATATATGTATATTTCAAGTAGTTATATGATATAAGTTATAAAAACTAATATAATATAACACATGTAAGTCATAAGTAACACATATTATTCTAAAATATATAGTAATATATTATTTTTTTTGTAACAAAGTAAACTAAATTTAATATAGTTTTCTCATTAATTTTAAAATTTAAGAATATTTTTTTAACAAACACCCGTGTAATATACGGGTGTTATACTAGTCTCTCCCTTATAAGCAAAAATATTTATCAACTAATATATTTATATTTCAAGTAGTTATATGATATAAGTTATAAAAACTAATACTATAATATAACACATGTAAGTCATAAGTAACAAATATCATTCTAAAATATATAGTAATATATTTTTTTTGTAAAAAAAGTAAACTAAATTTAATATAGTTTTCTCATTAATTTTAAAATTTAGAATATTTATTTAACAAACACCCGTGTAATACACGGGTGGTATACTAGTCTCTCCCTTATAAGCAAAAATGTGAGGGCTTTAGGGTGTTATACTAGTCTCTCCCTTATACTAGTCTGACACGTGTCGATTTCTTTCAAAAAAAATTGCCATCCAATTTTAGTTATATTTACGGGGGGCCGCCACTACTTTTTCCACGTTTTTGTGCCGTGTCTTCTCAGTTTTGGGGTCAAA